ACGCGGCCGGCCCAAAGCCAGAGCTAGAGCCAAGCTGACCCCGCCCATTCTAGGTCGTCCTCTCTGCAGTGTTCTCCCCGCTTGACAGCGACGGCAAACACGAGGCGGCAGCGAAGGCTGTCGTCGAGCGCGAGCTCGGTCCCACGGTGAACGTCGTCTGCTCCCGCGACGGTGCGCGTAACCCTCTCACCTCTCACGCGCCTCTAGCGCATCCGTGCTGACGTCCTGACACGACACATACCTCAATCCTCACCTCACGTCCATCCTAACCTTCCTTGACCCCGACGCGGCGGACGTGCTCCCCGTTCGCCCCCCCTCCGCGGCGCCGTGCACAACGGTTGCGCCTTGTCACGAACACGCCCTGGCAACCCGTGCAGTCGGGCAGGTCGGCCTGCTCGAGCGCGAGAATGCGTCGATCCTGAACGCGTCGATCCTCGCCTTCGCGCAGCGCACCATCCGCGGCTTCCAGCGCGCCACCCGCGCCCTCGCGCTCGCCTGCCCCCTCTACCTCACCCAGAACGACGGGACGCTGACGACCGCCGCCGCCGCCGCGCGCCTCCCGATTCGCACGTTCGCCTCGGGGCCCACGAACTCAATGCGCGGCGCGGCGTTCCTCGCCGGGCTCGACGACCGCCAACCGCACCCGCACCCGCACCCGAGGCCGCGTAACGACGACGCCGACGCCCACGCGGGGCAGCCCGAGCGGCGGCCGATAATCGTCGTCGACGTCGGCGGGACGACGACGGACGTGGGCGTGCTCCTCCCGTCGGGCTTCCCGCGCCAGGCTGCGTCGTTCATCGAGGTCGGCGGCGTGCGCACCAACTTCGCGATGGCGGACGTGCAGTCGATCGGGCTCGGCGGCGGCTCTGTCGTGCGGCCCGCGTGCGCCGGGGCGGAGGGCTCCGGCAGCAGCGCATCACCCCGCGTTGCAGTCACAGTCGGCCCGGAGTCGGTGGGCCATAACCTCGCGCGGGATGCGCAGGTGTTCGGGGGCGCGGTGTTGACCGCGACGGACCTGGTCGTCGCGGGCGGGCGGGCGGAGCTCGGCGAGAGGACGCGGGTCGCGGGCGTGCCTCGGGGCGTTGTCGAGGGAGGGATGCAGACGATCAAGAAACTCCTGGAAGGCATAATCGATAAGTGCGTTTGTCTGTTATCTGTCCGTTGCTAGACAACAGGATTTCCGCATGCATATATGCACCTGTCATCACTAACATGCGTCTGCTGCAGGATGAAGACCTCTCCGGAGGACATCACCGTCCTCCTCGTCGGGGGCGGCAGCATTATCGCCCCGGACCAGCTCGCGGGCGTGAAGGAGATCGTCCGCCCGCCTTTCTTCAGCGTCGCGAACGCTGTCGGGGCCGCGATGGCAAAGGGTGTGTGTCCTCAAAGCATCCCGTTATAATCACAGACATGCAGAATTGTCGACGTCGACTGACCGCCGCCCCTCCGGACAGTGGCCGGAGAGGTAGACACAATTGAGATCCTCGCCGGGCGCGACCTCCACACGGTCGTGGAGGCGATCAAGTTCCAGGCCTTGAGGAAGGCCGTCGCCGCCGGGGCCGATCCGGGTAAGTGTGCTCGAGGACGCGGATGTATGTATGTAGTGCACCTTCGCACTGACGCGTGTGTGCCATCAGCCACGACCAAGATTGTCGAGATCGTGCACTTACCTGTCCAGGTACGTGTGCCTGTCGCTCAGACGAGGATATCGGCGAGCTGAAGCATGCGAGCCGGGGCCACTGTGTATCAGTATGTGACGAACGAGGCCACCCGTATCATGGTCAAGGCCGCCGGCGACCTCGCGCCGGAAGCGGTCGCTTCTCTCGGGAACGCGCCGGTGTCAGTCCGTGACGACGACGAGGAGTTGGACGAAGGAGAGAAGGCGATAGTGAACGAGACTGACGGCACCTTCGACGAAACGTCTCCCGGATCTGAACTAGACATCGAGGCGTACAAGCCGGCCATACTCCCGGACCGCCGCTGGAAACTCTCCGAGCTCGATCTAGGTATGTCTCGAGTCACGCGGTGTGTGCTATGTGCTCGCCAGCCTCACGCAGTCTTTCGCGATCGCTTGCAGAATGGGTCGCAGAGGGCTGCGGCGTGTTAGGAACAGGTGGCGGCGGCTCGCCATATCCACCGTTCCTCATGGCGCGCCAGGCGTTACGTGACGGCAAGGACATTTATGTAAGGATATTCAGGGGTCCACCGCATACAACTCAAGTAACGGCATGCTGTTTGAATGCTCAGGTCGTGGACCCTGACGACGTCCCTGAAGATGACGTCTTCATACGATGCAGCTTCATGGTACGTGGTGCTCACTGCTGGTACTCGACAGGTCTGGCACGGCGCAAAACTGACACGGTGTTTTCTCTCAACAGGGGTCTCCTAGTGTCTCTGTGAGCACTCGCAGGTGTCGTATAGTACCTACGCCATCCTGACGTTACTGTCCAGATAGAGCGTATTCAAGGCGGGGACGAGATCCCCTCGGCCGCCCGCGCGCTCCTCAAGTATCTCGGCATCGCCGACTTCACTGGCGCCATCTCGGAGGAGATCGGCGGCGGGAACGGTATCGAGCCCATGATCGTCGCCGCGCACATGGGCAAGGCCGTCCTCGACTGCGACCTCATGGGCCGGGCGTATCCTAATGTGCGTACGTCGTGTTCCCTCGTCTACTACAACACGAGACTGGCCGCGAGAGCGTGCAGCAGCCGCCCCCGCCGCCGTCTTCCATGCCGCGGCGATTCGGTTGTTCTGGGCGAGGAACTGACGGTGGGGATCCCGCGCAGATGTACCAAACGTGAGTGCATCCGTCGGACGTGCGTTCGTACGCTAGCCGCCGTAGCCGCAAGCTCCGCATGACCGCTCCCGAACACACATGCCCTCCGGCATCCTCTTCTCCTCCGGCCCTTCTCTTCCAGTCGCCCCCACGCGCACGCCTTCTCTCCCTTCTCTTTTTCTCCATTCTCCCTGCGTTTTGGCTAAGTACCCTTCCGTTCTCTTCCCCGCGATCCGTGCACACGTAACAATCGGTGCTCACGCTCGGCCCCGTTGACTTAGGTTGCCGGGCGCGTTCGAGGTCCCGGGCGGGCTCTGGCCATGCGCGATATCGGACGGCGTAGGGAACACCCTCGTGAGTGGCGTTCTCCCGATCTCCCCCCCCCCCCCCCCTTCACTGGGTCTACTCCCGTTTGAAGCCGTTTCTGACCCCGCTCTGAATCGGGACGCGCTCCCGACCCGGCAAATTGTGTGGTCATCGTTACGTCTTCGCTGACGTTCCAACCTCTGAATTTAACGCTCCCCGCCACGATCCTTTGCACCCCCGGACCACCCCACACCCCATGGCCATACTTACATACCGGTCTCGAATTTCGACGGGTCCGACGACACGGCCGCTCGGTCGCAGGTGCTGCCGTCCGCCCGGGACCCGAAGGCGGTCGAGCACATCCTCCGCGCGGTCACGACCGAGATGGGCTCGTGCAGCGGGGTGAGCATGGCCCCGCTGAAGCGCGGGACGTGCACCCGCTACGGCGTGCCGCACACCGTGTCGCAGGCGTGGCGGATCGGACGCGCCATCGCGCTCGCGCGCAAGCGGAACGATCTCAAGGGCGTGCCGCGGGCGATCCTGGAGCTCCAGAACGGCGCGTGCCTGTTCGTCGGGAAGATCGTCGACGTGCAGAGGGTGAGTACTTACCGCGTCCTTCGTGCCAATGTCTTCCACTTCCAGGATCTCGGCTCGGCCCTCGCTCTGGCTCTGGGCTCTGGCTCTGGCTCTGGGCTCTGGCTCTGGCTCTGGGCTCTGGCTCTGGCTCTGGATTGGCCTTGTGTGCGATTCTGCCCGATGCTAAATGGCCCGACGATTGCAGGAAGTCCGGAAGGGGTTCACGTGGGGCGAGGTGACGATCGTGCCGCTGCTCGAGGAGGAAGAGGAAGACGGACGCACGGACGCGGGCGCGAGCCCCACCCTCCCCGTGAAGCCCGACGACCGGCTCGTGATCCCGTTCCAGAACGAGAACCTGTACGCGTACATCGAGTCTGCCGCCGACGGCGAAAAGAAGGTGCGTCCCAGCGGCCGCTTCGTGAGCCCTCTATCGGTCATATCAGAGGCCCGCTGACCGTTGACGCTCTCGTGCTCTCCTTTGTTCTCGTTTTTGTCTCCGTGCATGGATATCTGCTGCACCTGCCCCTACCCCCCCGGCGCAGGTACACGTCTCCGTGCCCGACCTCATCACAGTCCTCGACTCGCAGAACGGCGCGGCGCTCGGCACGCCCGACTACAGGTACGGGCTGCGGGTGACGGTCATCGCGCTCGCGGGCCACCCGAGCTGGACGACGACGCCGGAGGGGCTCAGGTGCGGAGGCCCAGGCGCGTTCGGGTGAGTGCCGCCATGCCAAACAGGCTCTCGCCTGCATAGTTGCTGTGGGCCGAGTTTGACAACCGGGTGCTTGAACAGCCTGGACGAAGTGCCGTTCACGCCGATCGGGGCGTACAAGGCTCCCAGGAGCGTCGTCAAGGAGTATGCGGACGCGTGAATATCGCAACGTCGCAGCCTTTGAAGATGTGGCGTATCAGCCTGACTCTTCACCTCGCTCAGTGTATAACAGCATGTGATACTGGTTCAAGTCACTATCAGAACAATCGGATCCAGGTTCCAACTTCCCACAAAACAACATAGCGTGCACTGTATCTGTGCCACATACTATACAGCACGGAGTTTATTCTCCGCTCTACGTCTTCTCCCAATCCGTCGTTGTCTAGCCCACCTCCTCGGGGAATCAAAATGCCCATAACTCCGAGCACAAAGCCTTGTGAACGTTACATCTGTCCTGGAGCCCAACTGGATCCCCGAGGATGTCGATGTCATCCGTATCGCGGGCGTCAGTGATGCCTGAATGGGAAAGAAAATTCGCCCTTTCACCACGTAAGTCAACCCGTTCCCTAGACAACAAGTTACGAGACTCGATAGTCGGAATCGAGAGGAGAAAAAGCATCAAAATATACTAGCCCACCGCGAGGGTCGAACTCGCAGCCTTCAGATTCCGCCTAGTAAGAGTCTGACGCTCTATCCGATTGAGCTAGGCGGGCATGTACTTTTGTGCAACCCGAAAATACCACACTCCGTTGCGCCGTGCTCCTTGCAGTACAGGAAAACCCGGCCCACTCGGGGCCTTTATAACAAGGGCTTCTGTGAAAACAAGCTCGTGTGTGAACTCCACTGGAGGAGACTGGACTGAGAAGATGCGTAACGATGTCTACGCGGGTTGGACCCACGCGAACGACGTGGAGGATGCGTGAAACACTTGGGCGGGATCATTCTAAACAGGCACCAGCTCCAAGACTTCAACCAACGAGCGAGAGGAGGCTCTCAGTATCGCAGCACTAGTCTGCTAGTTATTGGGGCCTCGAACCGTAGGGTGGCAAATCGGAGTTTGTCAGCAGACATTTGATCTCCGACGACGCGTTCAGATCTATACACGCCCGACGCGTCGACGCGTCGCGCGCGTCTTGTTACTGTACCACACTATCCTCACTACACTATGCCCTCGTAATGGAACGTACACATTCTACTCCACCTGCGAAACCTCCCGCCTACAAGTTCTCGTCGGACGAAGGTGCCGCTCTATGCAAAATCCTGATTCACGAGCGCCTCGGCTACTACCCTCATTCGTATCAACTGCATCAGGAAAAAAATACATGACTCGGGTGAGCTATCGAGACTCGCGAGACGGGATAGTCAGATAGACAAGTACCCCTCTCGCAAGCGTCCGATAGCCACCTCTAGCGTCTCGAGAGTACTCCTCGAGCCCTCGATAGCTTCTAGATATCCCACATACAGCAACCTTGCTCTTGGCGACATTCAACATGTTTATAAACAAACAAGCAGAGAAATTATATTTATAACGGGACATGATGAGATGATACATAGTATATACAGAAACTAGCTAGGGGAGGCGGGCCAAGCGTCCAGCGGCGCTGGGGCTCTTGCGGTTGCCGAAGATGTGATGTCGACGCATGCTTCCATACTCGGGTCGGGGTGCTGCCTAGAGGTCGGATCGGATGAGCTGCTTCCACTTCCCAACTTGGACAAGAACAAGGCGGACAAGAAACATACCATAGCGCATGCGCAGACCCTTGCATTCGCCGGTAGGTGATCAAGGGCTGGCAGCTGACCCACATCGCAATCGCAATCGCAATCCTGCTGCCGCTCCTCCCATGCGTCGTGCTCGCTGTCGTCTACTCGGTCGTCTGAGTCATCAGGGAACGTATCTGACACATTCACGATTGCTGTTGATTATCTTCGCGCATTTCTAGGGCTTGTAACGAGGGCTACCCAGGGTGCCTGGTGCTGCTGGGCCTCTTGAAGTTCATCGAGTTTTGACCCTGATAGGACCTAGTGCTCAACTTCCCCATTGTGGTATGCCACAGATAGAAGTGACAATTACTTACCAACAGACTCCGGAGGAACCACCACCGGCTATGGCGTAGGAGGAGGAGCGGTCGCCGTGTCTATAGGCGGCCTCTCGAAGGATCAGGCAGGTGCTTGCGGGTGCGGTGGTCTTACATACACAGCGAGATGACCCAGCATGGTGATGAACATTTGTCTGAGTCTGTGAAGTGCTCAGCTCGAAAAAGAGGGTAGTGACAAGCAAAAGACTCAAGAGCGTGTGAGGGTGGGGGGGACGAGGCAAGGGTGTCGTCACTGCCAACACACCAACTGATGCGATCAAGCGCCGGGTTTAGGGCAGGCGCCATGTCACTTCGCGCATTCCCTCTTGACCCAGTGTGTCTTTCAAGCCTCCGCAAGGGAGTTACAGTCGTCCATCGCAGTTCAAACTCTGTAGTAAGCTTACTGAAGGCTGAATACATCTACTGAAACTGCATTTTCCACGTTACTGACACCCATGCATTTTAGTATGACTTGCGAGTGCTCCCGAGTTCTCTCGAGACATACTGAGCGTCTCTCAGGACCCGCGAGTCTGAGTGGTGTCTATCGAGAGTTTGGTTTTTCCTGATGTGGAAGGTGTGCAGAAGGCTCTCGACAAAATCGATGTCGCTATCACACCGACGGGATCCGGCAAGACCGGGTTTTTGACCATGTACCTGCTTGTGATGCATGCCATCATGAAGAATCCGGAGCGCTGCCCGAATCCCCCGCAACACTTTAGGAAGGATGCCGCAATGGTGTTGGTCTGCCCAACAAGGTCTTTGGAGGTCGACATGGTATGTTCATAGTACTACTGACTATCTGGACTAAGGATGTCATCTCACAATGGTGTATATAGGTACCTAAGTTCGAGGCAGCTGGACTAACACCGCTTGTCATCAACGCGTTGACTGTGGACGCCGCACGCAGGAACCAGAAGGACATTTGGGAAGACACTCCGAAGTCCCATGTTGTCATACTCGCACCTGAGCAGCTCGTTTCAAAAGGGTTCGAAGATCTTGTCAAGGACTCGTCATTTCATCAACGTATCGTCGCAATCGGTATGGACGAAGCACACCTTCTGAACCCGTGGGGATTGTCGTTCCGCAAGGCTTTCGACCAGGTTGGCGGGACACGCACGCGCTTTCACCCAACTCCTGTTCTCATTGCACTTACCGCCACACTCCGTACCGGTGCTCCCCTGCAGTCTGTCCAGACGTTCCTTGGCCTTAATCCGAACCGATATCATCTCATCCGAAGATCCAACATGCGTCATGACCTCCGCTTCCTCTTCCGCACCATGCTTTCGTCACCTCATGCAATGACTTTCCCCGAGCTTGATTGGGTGCTCACAGAGCGGCGACGGGTGATCATTTTCTGCCGCACAATCACTGTGGGATTCCGAGTGGCCGTGTATCTCCGGGTCCGCGCCGAACTCAATGACATGCCTGCTGTTGAGGTCGATCAGCGTGTCCGCATGTACAACGCTCTCAACTGGGATACATATAACATCTTCACCCTGGACCTGATGCGCTCAGACGGCTCCTCTTCATGGGTGACGATAGCCACTGATACCCTGTCCGTGGGGATCGACATTGCAACCACCGACGATGTCGTCTTGTACGACTTCGAGCTTCCACCCGACACCGACTCAATCCTGCAGAAGGCTGGACGCATTCGCGATGGAAGAGGAAAGGATTCTCGGGTAGTGGTCTATCTCCCGAAGAACGCGACAAAGACGTGTGAGCAGGCTCTGACCCAAGTGGGCAAAGGGTCGCCAGCTACAGTAGTGAAGGTTGGGGGTGGCAAACGGTCGACTGCGGTGGACATTGGTGTTGCGGAGCTGGTGACCGGCACGTGCAAGAGCAAGACGTTCAACCGCTTATATGCCAATCCTGTACACGACTGCCTCTGCGACTGTGATGGGTGCAAACAGAGGCCTCCGCAGCATCCTCGGACGTCCTGCAACTGGTCATGCTGTGCACCTGAAGATGTCTCAAGTTTGGATGCGCCCATGTTAGACTCGACATGTTCGGGTTCAGAGTCTGGCTCAGACTTGGACCCGGATGCTTCAGAAGACGAGTCGAAGGTACCCGGGGTCACGACGTCGCATGCACCACATCAGGAAAAAAATACATGGCTCGGGTGCTCTATCGAGTCTCGCGAGACGGGATAGTCAGATAGACAAGTCCCCCTATCGCGAGTGCCCGATAGTCGCCCCTAGCGTCTCGCGAGTACTACCCGAGACCGCGATAGCCATGGTACTTACTTGAGAGACCTGCCTATCACCCGTATTACACCACTTGATATGCATGCAAATCACACATAATGGAACGAAGACTAATGGTATTCCAGATGGGTGTACAGTACAATACATGACGGACACACATTGGCGAACACACAGTACAATACATCTTCAGACACACAATGCGAGCCCCTCCTTTACCTGTACAGCACACCGGCCGGTGTGGACGTTGAGTGTGTATAATGTCAACACTCGACTGCCATACCAATGTAATGGAGGAGCCGGGAAGCACATTGCCTGCCACGCTGGGCACAGGCACAGCGCATGTCGAGCACCCTCGAGCGTGAACATGCACTGCATATTGTCAGCCCAAGCGCAATCAAGCTGATGGTGTCCTGACCTCACGCTGATTGCAGACTGTGCGCACGAGATGCGCTCTCACTTGGACGGATGGTTGAGGCAGACAAGACTCACCTGATATCCGTAGGACCTGGCACTTCCGGTGATTGTTGTTGTCGCGAACGACACAGGCGAAAGTTGGCGAACCTTACAGCACGAGGTAGTTCAGAAGAGGCAGAGGTACACTGTGTGAGCCCCGCGGGATGGTATCAGATATCGGGGTTGAAGGAGGGAGCGATAATAACAGACTCACCATATACAGGAGCTCCTGACAGCAGCAAAGGCGCTACCACGGGCTGCCGGGACGTTAGATGTTGTCAGATGTCATGGTCTTGACCGTGTTGCGAGGTGACAGGTATTGTATGCGTACGAGATGTACAGAGGAGAAGCCGTGCGGAAGAGCTTGCGGGGGTGGGACAGGAAGATGTCAAGCGGCAAAAGCGATAACTGCCAGCGCACTGAATGATGGCATCAAGCGCCTACTTTAGGGCAGGCGCTATGTCACTTCAGTCTTTTCTCCTGGACCCTACCGCTCTTGCAGGTCTTCCTGGGCAGGTTACAGCGTCCTACCATGCTACAGATTCTGTAGGCGAATATTCTGGGACTGAATATATCTCTGAGCTGTGACATTACATATGTATGGTGAATGGCCTTCTCATTATGGCTCACGAGTGCTACCGAGCACTCTCGAGACATAGTTAGTGTCTCTCGAGACCCGTGAGTGTGAGTGATGTCTATCGAGAAAATGGTTTTTCCTGATGCAGTTCGCAGGAAGGCCGGTGGCACCAGCAAGGCTTCTTCAACACCTCGTATCACACGGAAGATGCGAGAGTTTGCACACACACGGTTCTACACTTTCCGCAAGGCTATACGCGACGGCATGGATGACTGCAATCTTCTACCGCCTGAGGAAATCCTTCCCGACGAGTTAATCATGGCCATGCTCAACAGCTTCTACGAAACTGTCGATAGCTCATCGTTGAAGAGGATTACAGGCGACTACGAGCACTTGCACAA